TTCTGCTTATATATGGGAAGCAGACCACATTCCCTAAGGCAGCTACTCAGCTGCTCCCAGTAGATCCCACCTTGGAGTTGATTGCCAGTCTCATCCTGGGGAATACTACCGCCAGTTGCCCAGCCACTCAACCAGGCCCAGCCAAGTTGACAACACAACCACCACAGGCAGTGTTTTGTTTTGTTGTACATAGGGTTGCTATGAGTCGTTAATGACAGCTAACAGCAACAACAAAGTGTGTTTATCAGAATGGGTACAAACAGTGTTATTGGGGAAGGAATAAAGAACTTTGTGAGTTTGCATTCCAGTTGCACCACTTATCAATGTAAACTTGAACATGTTACTTAATATCTGGGTCTTCAGTTTCCCCATTTGTAAAATGGAGTTATTGACATCTAAAGATTATTTTAAGGAGATAATATATAGAATATGCCTAGCCTATACTGGGTGCTATGGTGGCATAGTGCCTAAGGCATGTGATTGCTAACCAGAAGGCTGGTGGTTCAAACCCACCAGTCAACTCCTTGGAAGGAAGGTTGGGCAATCTACTTCTGTAGTGATATTGCCTCAGAAACCCAAGGAGGGGTCACTATAAGTCAGATCCGACTTGATGGCAGTGAGTTAGTTATACTAGGCATGAGCCAGGTGCCACGGAAGGTGGGTATGTGGAGCACCCCAGGGCAGGCCGGGTAAGTGGGCAGTACATGGTGGGTGGTAGTGTGCCTGGGGAAAACCAGGAAGTGAATGGAGCCATTTGGAACAACTAAGGGAGACAAACTTGTCTGTCAGTTTTTCCTACTGTGGTGTCTTGTCTGTTGCTGTGAGGCTGAAGGCTATGCCACCAGTGTTTCAAATGCCAGCAGGGTTACCCATGGTGGATAGGTTGGTTTCAGCAGAGCTTTCCAGACTAAAACAGACTCAGAAGAAGGGAGAGGCTGTCCACTTCTCAAAGAATTGGCCACTGGCCAGTGAAAACCTTAAGAATAGCAGTGAAACACTGTCTGATATATTACTGGAAAACTTTACAAATACCCCAGAAACATTTCCCGATATAATGCTGGAAGATGAGCCCTTCAGGTTGAAGGCACTCGAGATACGACTGGGGAACAGCTGACTCCTCAGAGTAGAGCCAACCTTAATGATGTGGATAGAATAAAGCTTTCAAGACCCCCATTTGCTGATGTGGCACATCTCAAGATGAGAAGAAACAGCTGCAAATATCTGTTAATAATCGGGACATGGAATGTATGCAGTATGAATCTAGGAAAATTGGAAGTAGTCAAAAATGAGATGAAACACATAAAGATCAATATCGTAGGCATTGGTGATCTGAAATGGACCAGTTTTGGCCATTTTGAATCAGACAACCATATGATCTACTGTGCCAGGAATGACAAATTGAAGAGGAATGGCGTGACATTCATCATCACAAAGAATGTATCAAGATCTGTCGTAAGTGGTATGGAAAGAGTCTCTGACCACCATGATAACATTGGGGAAAGGGAGGACACCGAATTGTGCATATAAGATATAGATGACAAGCAGCCATCTAGATGCAGTGTTGGGTCTCTCCTCATCTAGAGCAAAGAAGAATGAAGAAAACCAAAGATTCAAGAAAACAATTAATCCTAGTGACTGGCACACCATACCATCTGCAGCCTATACATGACTATGAGACCAGAAGAATTAGATGGAGCCCAGCTACCACTATCAACCACTCGGAGGGGGATCTATGTAGGAGATCCTAGATAGAGAGGGAGAACATTGTGGAACAAAACTCAAAATCATTTGGGAAAAAAAACAAAAAGGGGGGACCAGGTTTGCCAAGATGTGTTAATTATCACTGGTGATTGGAATGCAAAAGTTGGAGGCAAGAATCACTGATAGTTGGAAAATATGGCTTTGGTGATAGAAATAATGCTAGAGATTGTGTGATAGAATTTTGCAAGACCAACAACTTACTGATTGCAAATACTTTTTTTCAACAACACAAACGGCAGCTATGCACATGGACTTTGCCAGACGGAGTACACAGGAATCAGATTGACTACATCTGGGCAAAATGTGATAGAGAAGCTCAGTATCTTCAGCCAAAACAAGGCCAGGAGCTGATTGTGGAACAGGCCATTAACTGCTTATATGCAAGTTCAAGTTGAAGACAACTAAAACAATCCGCTAGAGCCAAAATACAACTTTGAATATATATCCCTCCTGAATTTAGAAACCATCTAAATAATAGATTTAATGCATCGAACAACAATGACCAAAACCA